ACATGCCATCGTTTGTAAATCGTACAATTTATATATGAAACAAATGAATCAGAATATTCCACGAGCATATTTGCATGAGATGCCCAAGATTTTATTAAGATCAATATGTTTGAGACAAAGTCAGACAACGTTTTCAAAAATATAAAGTAAAACTTTTTCGATTAGATTTTCATTTCGATTATTTTCATTATAATAAGAAATCATGTTTATTTGTATGATTGATGCCGCAGAAGGATATGTAATGTGATGACGCTATTGATGACATATGAGAAAGAATACTCAATAAAATAAAAGTAAATAGGGTGTGGGTGTGAGTATGAGTATGGTTCAAGACAATATTCACATTCACACCCCATCTTTCGATTATACGAACAAAATCAAAAGCTGAATCATTTTTATTTACAATCAAGTCAATAGCTTTTAAAATAGACTTAGCTCAGTATGTCCTTAGAGGATCCCATCATGCGATTAAAAAATCATTTTTATATTCAAGTAAGATTGAAATTCTATGAGATTATTTGGTTTTATTCTTTTTTTTTTCTAAAGATGTTCGAATGTATCTATCAGATGCTTATCAAGCATTTGATAAATGGGATGAATCATTAGCAAGTGAAATTCTACAAAAAACAAATATTAGTATATATGAACAGATTAATTGATAAAATTGATTCTTTTCTTTTCTTTTTTTTGTAAAGGTAAACTTTTGATTGATGTTGAAGATAAATTAATTAGAAAGAAATATGTTAGTTCACTCGACATTAAAATTATAAGTATTCATATAAATGAATAGAGCTCGTCGGGTCTAAGATTTTCGGACTCAAATCATACTTCTAATTTTTTTAATCTGAATTTGATACATCTTAACGATGATCGTATAATAATCAAGTGATCATTAGTAAAGACCATAGGATTGCTCTCGGACTTGGATTTGATAGGATCTGATTCGAAAATTTGGAGTTCGATGAGCTCTATATTTGAATATATTCGTTGTTTTTAGCTTGTAGCGAAACTGACTCATGTTGAAACGACTGAAGATCTTAAACTGGTAGAAACAATTTTAGAAAAGTAAGAAAATAGATTTTTTTTAATGTTTGTTAGTCACTTGTTCGTGATTATCTTGATCTTGGTCAAAAAGAACGTTTATTACCTATTTTACATGATAAAGTTAATAGAATTAAAAACGAAATTATTCATAAAGTTTTATGATTTCATTTGTTAGGTTAAATATGGAATTTTTCTTGATCAATTTTCAGCTAATCTTTTATTAAATGCATTTTTACTTGAAAAAAAATACAAAGGTAAAAATAAATTGAGTTTTGTTTTTGTTATATAGAAAATCCTAAAATAGAAGCTGCACAAGTTTGTATAGATCTGATGTTACAAGAT